AAGTTCAATTTCTGTGGGAGGAGGACAAGCATTTGCAGGCCATATCTCACTTACAATCGGCACCGATTTTGCTCCACCTTAAGTTCAATTTCTGTGAGAGGACACTTAACCTTTTTTGGGACTGGGTGGCTTTGTGCTTGCTCAGAGATCTCAGCTTTGGAGCCTTATCACTTGGGGAATAGGTTTTGCTCTCTGCACCTCAAGGCGAACCTTACAGATGCCTCCCCACCTCAATGTTACTGATCAGTTAAAGAGTGCAGGGCTTGGTGGGGAGAAATGGTAGCAGTGGCAGCAGCGAGGGAGGCTCTTTTGAAGGTGGAATAGCACCCACCTGTTGGGTCAGTACTAGGGCTACAAGTCCTGGGCTGAAAAAATGTAGATGACCACTAGATGTCAGCAGTGAGATGGAGTTTTCTGTATTGCTTTGGTGCTACCTAGTAGTGATCCTAGTCAGAGAGTCGTAATATAAATATGGCCATGTCAACTAAAATGATGTGACGGAGTCATTGCTATGAAGACAGTTCCAGATTATTTCCTTCAGGAATTGAATTAAAAATACAACAAAACTGTGTCATGTTCCTTTTCCTTTTTCAAGCATCTGTCTGTAGGAGTTCATCCCACATCCCTTTTCAACATGTCCAAAGAGCTTTCTGTTTTTATCCCTTCTTCATGATGATATCTGTTTTGCACAAGGCAGTTCTCTTAAAGAATTCCAAGAACTTTGGAAGGAAATGGCAACAGCCAATTAAATGTTACAAGACTGTTGTGAGCGCAGCAGGATATGAACCAAGAAGATCTTGGTGCTGCAAAACAAGCTAAAGAACCTCATTTAAATTAAAATGAGGGAACACCTGTTTTGGGTCCTTAACTGTGCATGGACTATGCTGGAAAGAGAGTTGATTTAAAAAAAACAACAACTTGTATAATGGCTTTAAGCCTGAAGAGCTTTTATCCTGCCTGTGTCAATGCTCTATTACATCAGTAACCATGCTCTGAACAATGGTTATTAGTACATTTTATTGATGATTATTTGTATGTCGTGTCTTCCTGGCAGCTGAAAAGCAGGAAGTTTTAAAATAGTAGAGCATAGTTAATTATCAGCTTCCAAACAGTACTCCAGAGCAAGCAGATCTGCGAGAAGTGTTGAAGTTCCAGCAGCTGGCCAGGA